GCTTACCCCATGCAGGCTGGAGACGTCAGTCAGTCAGTCAGTCAGTCAGTCAGTCAGCAAGCCTTGGTGTATTCTATGTAGCAACTCTGTGCTTTGAGCAGGGCTGACCCAGAGCAAATCAGACACAAGGCTGAATCACAGATGAGACACAGTCCCTGCCCTTGAGGAGCTTGCTGGGGGTGCCTGGGAGATAGAAGCCAGCAAGGGAGAAAGCCAGGAAAACCAACAAAGTATACTGTGTTAAGGAAGAGTGCTGTGGGAAGACCTGGGACCAGCCAGCTTCCTCCAGCAGACACAGCCCATTTGCAATGACTCTGGAGAGTTGGAGACAGGCAAGCCAATGGTCACACGGTCAGACAGGCACAGGTACTGGCAGGCAGGACAGAAAGACAGGCAAGCCAGCAGGCATTGAGCCCAGGCCTGAAGACAGCCAGACCGGCAGCAGACAGGCAGATACAATGGCGTTTTCCACCTATCTGGCTGAGCTAGGCTCACGCTGGGCAGCAGGGATTCCTCCACAGTGCCAAGCACAGAGCCTGTAACTGAGAAGGTACTCTATCAAGGAGAAGTATCAAAAAGAAAGTGCCCCAAATTTAAACAGAGGGAAAGCTGAGTAGGCAGACTCTGACCAGGCCACTTTATCCTCTTCCCCAGGGTCTGTTTTCACCCTATCCACAGCCCAAAGCCCAGGGTTGATGGAGCTAGGTGACCACCTCCAGCTCTCTGTGACCTTGGGCAAGAAATTGATGGCGCTGGGCCATCACATGGCCCTGTCCCAGGCCAGTTCCTCCACTGTGAGGAGGGAGGATAGCAGGGCTCTCAGCAGTGCTTGGAGGAGGCTACTCTTCCTTCCACGAGAAGGAATGGTTGAGGCATAGGATCTTGGGGTAGGATTCTCAACTTTAGGGGGCACCTGCTTTGTGTAGAGGAGCTGCACCCATGCACGCGGAAGAGAAGAGAGGCAAACAGCCAGTGGGTGTTTTGGCTGAAGTGGCTGTCTGTGTGTGACGTGGGCTCCATTTAGCTGTGGAACTGGGGAGCCGGCCACGTGCGATGACGTGAGAATATGAATGAGTTTGAAACATGGGGAGCTGGAGTCTGTAATGAGGAAATTCTCTTGATTTGAAAAATCGAATATTTTCCTAGATTGCAGCAGAGCCCCCAGTGCCAGACCCTCCCTGGGCCTTTGGTTCTAGGATGACTGTGAATACCCCAAAGTCCTCAACTCCTAGCTTCGGAGTTTGCTGCAGATAAAGTTGTAGCACAAGTTAATTACACGGTTATGGAGAGATAACAGAGCCACTCCAATGCAGTTTCTGGGCAATTACAATTGTTTCCAACAGAGTCACCATATTGCAGCCATGAAATAACATGTCATTTTGCAGTAATTATGTAATTAACTTGTCTCACCACTCTAGGTTGCACAACAATTAATTCACTCACAATGAGATAGACTCAAAGTCAGGCAGGCAAGGTTTGAAAGCTCCTAGTAGCAGAGCTGCCCTTCTAGGAAGACCCCAGACCCACTCTGTCCACTCCAGACCTCACTCACCAGGAGACTTCCCCAGCTCAGCGTCACAGGGAACACGCCAAGATCAGCATCATGGACCCAGTTATTTCTGTCTCAACGCCCTCATCCAAGAAATGGGAGTGATCTGCTTCCCAAGTCAGCCATGAGGCTTATCTATACCATCCACCCTGGATACCATGCGGTCCTGCATAGGAAACCCCTGACCAGAAGGTCTTATATCAGTCCATGCTTTGAAGAAGAGGCCACATAGGTCTTGCTTCAACAGGTGTGAAACTTGAGGAGAGTGGGACTGAGTAGGGCAGCAGAGACCAAGCTCTCTCTAGCAGGGCAACTGAGGCAGGGCTGGAATGACTATTGGAGTCTGGGGATTATGCATCTGGAGAGGACTCAGACCTTCCAAAGGTGACACAGTAAAAGCGTGATCCTCCTCCTCCTGAACCACTGCTAGGAGAAAGTTGGTTGAGTGTTGGGCATGAATTGCCCTGGTTTTCCCTGGGACTGCAGCCCACCACAGACGTGGGACAGGAGGACAGGGAGAGCTGAGTGAGATGTGAACAGCTGCATATAAATCTCTTCGCA